CGGGGGCGGCGGGGCTGGCGGAGGAACGAGCTGCAGCGGTGCCTCCGCAAGAAGCGGATGGTGGGAGACCGGATGTTTGTCGATGACCTGCACAAGCTCAACAAGAGGATCCGGTACTTGTACCGGCGCTTCAATCGCACCGGCCAGCACCGCTAGGGGCAAGGGTGGCTCTGGCTCCTGCAGCCGGGTGGTTTTGTGGCGCCGCGGTCAGAATAAAGCCAGCTGTCGTACAGTTGGGCTCCCAGTGCTTCACTCTGCCCTCCCGGCCCAGCCCCAAGGTCCTGCTGCAGGCCTGGGCTCTGTGCAAGTTCTGCTCCCCTCAGGCATTTCTGACATACTTCTCACAGACATGTCTCAGCCTGCATCCCTGAACTTGACCTCTTGTTCTCTGGCCAGGCCTGAAGCATCCTTTCCTTCTCTGTGAGCCCCAGGTTCTCACGTCCTGCTTGACAATTTCAGCACACTCCAGCTTAGGTTTTTCCTCAGAGCTAAGTTCTTGAGGCAGTGCTAAGAGCACCTGCCTATGTCCTCTTGCTTCCTGATGCCCCCTTGCCCCCCATTTATCAGTGATTAGCCTGAATGATGCAAATGTCAGCTGAAATGCATCCAGACCTGTCTTAAAAACAGAATTTGCTTTTCACACTGATGATGACTCAATCCCTTACTAATGACCAGTGGCCTTCTGTTTATGATGTAGTCAGGATTTGCAAAAGTGATTCAGGCACTTAACTGGTCTTAAGAACTCTGGTTTTCTGTGACTGGTTTCTTTAGACAAGTTATGGTGTGTCAGAGCTGGCATCCTAACCCAGCTCCAGAAAAGGCTGTGGAACAAGCAGGTGTTTGCTTGTCTCTACTCCCTCAGTTGTTAATTCTGCTGGTAGAGTTAACTGGTGATGTGATGTACCCTCTAACAGAGCAACATCCCTCTGTCTTTAAAAACACTTGGTTGGAAGCTGTGGGGAGTGAGAAGAACTTCCTTTAGCTTTCAGCTTGAGGGAGGTGGAGCTGAAGTCTCTATTCAAGCAGCTGAAGTCCGTGTTCTTGGGAGCAGGGTGGCAGAGCTGTAGGACTTTGGCTAAAAGGTGATGTGGATCCCAGACTGAACACCTGGAAGAGAGCAGTGAGTGGTTATTACAAACATAAACTACAGATGTATATCAAGTCCTTGGCTGAAAGCACAAAGCAACCAGGTACTTTGTAAGCTTTGTCAGCCTTTAGTCTTTCAGCCCCAACTTGGCCAAGGCTCTGTGGGTCTGTAGCTCCACAAGCTCCATCTCCTGTCACTGCAATGGTTATTGGAACGGGCCTCCAACTGCAGCAGGAAGGTGGCCAAGCTACAGAGGTTTCTTTCATGACTTGTCCCTTTGCAGCTCCTCTGAAGCCACAGCTGAAAAACCTTCAGCTTGCTCCTCAACAGCCCTACCTGCAAATTACCTGGCTCCAGCAGCAACCCACCTTCAGTCTTCACCTTCCTGGTTGCCACGCTCCTATGCTCCCAGGCTATAAATCAGAGTGTCCCTGTTGTATGCACCTACTCACCCATCAGATCTGTCACTAAAAACTTCAATGAATGGCACGTATCACCTCACAAAAGGAACCTGAAGCTCAGCAGGGCTGTGAAGCAGCCGCTCCCCCCCCCCCTGCCCCCCCTCACCACACCGGGCCGGCCGGGGGGGG